TAAATCTATCTGTGTAAAAATTTGTCCATGGGTTTTCTCCAGATGCTCAAGAATCCTTTTTTTTCCTGCACGAGTCTTAGGACTTGGTGAGGCTTTCCTGCAACACTACATCTTCTGTATCATCATCACCAGTAGCAGAGGCAACAGTCCAGCAGCAACGTCATTTCATAATCTCCTCCATCTGCATCCATGTGTGGGTGTCCATTAGGTGTGTGTGTTCATTCCACCACTGTTGATTCAGAGTGGTCTGTGTACCGCTCCAGTGCTCCCGACATTTGCTACAATAAAAACATTGACCTTATTGCGCCAACAGTGGAAGGTTCTTGCCATTGGCAGCTTCTTGCCAATAGTGCTGGGCTCAGCTTTAGCTCTGATCAAACCTCGACAATATTCAGCCACTCCACCAGAGCAGAATAAGGAGCAATGGAATAGGCATTCTATGGGTGCTATGGGTCCTACTTGAATTTAAAATTTCAGAAAGCAGGCCAATTGTTTCAAGTATTTTGCTAAAATCAGGTTGAATTATAGTCTTTAATGCTACATGAATTGGGCCACTATTCTGTAATACCGCACACTCCTGCTTCCATGCCATGTTACGGCTATAACAAGCGTTTTTATACAACATCATTCCTGCAAACGACATCTCATAATGCTGCACACTCCACAAATATGGAGGCGTATACATATTAAAATATGTTTTATTCAGTTGACCAACGTTTATACATGTGGGAGGAAACCAGAGCACCCAGAGCAAATCCACACTTGTGTGAGGGCAACACTCTATACCATACAGAAGGGAAGCATTATTCCGCACATTACTGTACCACCTTCTCCTTAATGTGCACAGGAAGGGAGTTTCACAACATTTGTGTGCTCCACGAACCCTCGCCTCCATGGTGCTGGATTACAGATGTGCATCGCCACCACCCAGCTAGCAGTCTTGCCGCTTTCAGCCTTTTCTAGGAGTATTTATTTCTCCAGATTTTCAGTATTGACCACCTTTTACAAATGACCCCCTTGTTGCCTGATGTCTCAATAATTTAATTGGGTCTTTTGTTTTTCTCTGGTTTACAAACTGGATATGTAAGCTCTGATGTCCCTTCAGGACTTCCTGATATGAACATTCTGTACTGATGCTATCCTGTACTGGTTCTGTATCTATATTTTATGGATTTCTCATGTGAAAGAGAATCGTAAAGATGGGTGGATGGCTCAGGAGAATTTAGATGGCAATTTGCATTTGGCAGCCATCAATTACTGCACAAAAAAACATCTCATTGACTTAGATTTTTCACTTATATTAGCTTATTTCAAATTGATTGACATGTGATGACCACTCTTTGCAGGGTCTGTGCCCCGCGTGTGGATAACGATCCCCATTAAAGTGACATTCGAAGAAGTTCTGTTACATAATCTTCCACGGCTGTTCTCTGACACATGGTGGTTTATGGAAATGTATTCATAACAAAGCAGACTATACTGGGGGCGGGGGGGGGATAAAATAAGGATATATCTACCTTACTTATTAGCATATTCCATTCTCTGCCTGCTTCCTAGCCAATAGCCAGTCCTGTCCAAAGTGAGTGTTTGAATTTTTCACGATGTTTTGCTTTCAATTTAGTTTTCACTCTCCCTTTTTCTCTTCCTTAGCAATCATCCTGAGCATTACGTTTGCACACGTTGTCTATGGATTTTTCTGTTTAAAAATCTAGAAGGTAACATTTTTGCCACTACCTCCACAGTGCTGTAAACCACACAAATATTGCCGAACTCCCTTCCTGTGGGCATCGAGGTGGCGTGCCATGGCTTGCCAGGAGAACGCGATGGCACCGGATTACCGCATGGATGCCTTTCCTGCTTATCTGTGGTTCCCCGTGCCTCTTGAGTCGTTCTTTCCCTTTAAGATTGAGCGAATACTGTGGCGCGTTACAAGTTGAAATGATTTCAACCGTGGTTTATTTTCCTGCCATGGCGGTTCGTGTTGTGGTTTATGTTTTGTATAAATCACAAACAAGGCACTGGAACTTGTGGAACCTCTAATCAAAGTTAACGCAAGCATGGTAATTCATGAGCCATTTACAAAATTTGGATTTTGTCTTGAAAATAAAACATTGCTTAACTGGAAGCAGAATTTGTGGCAATGAACTTGAATATATTTGAGGTGTGGCTAAAATGAGAGAATGAAATACATTTAAATAGTGAGGCAACTATTTCTATCATAGGAGAAACAAGACAGCTATTACAGAAAATGTGTTTTTTTTAGTGTTTGTGGGATTTTAATAGAGTTGTGTCATTAAGAGGTATAATGCAAAGTTTCTAAATTAACAAAGTTGAAGATAATCCAGTAATATGTCCCAACTACCAGTCACGAAGATGTATAAGTAGACCACATGTATGAAGAGATGAATCAACGTCTAAGTGAGAGCAACACACAACTGCAGGAGAACTCCTCTTATTCACGCAAATGTAGGAGACCAACATCGCGAATCCTATTATAATCTGTGGAATTATACGCGGGGGGGAAATTGCAGATAATTGGGAATAATTTTCTACTTTACTCCGTTTATTCGTGAAAAACATATATCTGGATTGGGAGTTGTGATAACTTTCCTGAGTGCACTGTAATAAAAAGGCCGGCCAATACCTGTGGGTAAAGTACTTTCTACAAAGAGAACACGCACATAGACCGCCAAGTAGCTTCTGTCTCTAAAGGCTGGCACACTTGCTATGCTTCTAAGACATGTCTTTCTCCACGTCAACGAGTGTCTTTCTGTATCTCCGTGTGTGTCTCTGGGTGTGTATATGTGTTTCTGTCTTTGTGTCTCTGTATATCTATATCTCCATCTCTTATTGTATCTCTGTCTCTCTGTATCGCTCTTTGCATCTCCATTGTGTCTCTCCGTATCTCGTGTGTCTCTTTTTATTTCCATGTGTTTATCTCCATATGTTTCTGTATCTCATATTTGTGTTAGTGTATCTCTCCGTCTCTTTCCATGTCTCTTCGAGAGGGATGTACACGGAGAGTGACGGCGATATGGAGAGACGCATACAAATACAGACACATGGAGATAGGGAGAAACACGTGGATATGCTTAGAGACGCATGGATATGAGGGAAATTTATAAAACAGAGATGCACGATATAGACGTAGAGAGACACAGAGAAACGGAGAGATGGAAAATACTTGCTTTGATCTTTCCACTGCTGGATGAATGCCTCCCCAAGGTGTCGCCATTACTCATGGTCTCGTAATGCAACAGCCAATCGTCTGCATTGGAGCGGATGTCTTCTCATCCATATTTTATAGCAGGCAATAAACACTGATTTAAAACATTCTTTATGCACATCGGTAGGTTGTGTTACATTCTGGAAAAAAAAGTCTGTGTGTGCTTCTGCACATCTCTGTATGTCTCTCTCTCAGTGTCTTTCTCTCTCTGTCTTTGTGCATGTCTCTTTCTGTGCTCTGTGGGTATCTGTGTCTCTGTGTCTCTCTCTTGTTTTGTTTGTGTCTCTCTTGAGTAGCACCTTGTGTTTCCGTGTCTTATCTGTGTGCTACCTGTGAGGCAAATGCTTTGAACACAATGTGTTTCAGTGTCTCGCTCTCCGTACAAACATTTTTTTTCATGTTAAAATTCTATATTTATGGCGAATATGCAAATGTTCTTCCAATTACCCACACAAACATGCCAGTAATTTGAGTAATTTGCCGGGTGAATCTCTTAACCGTGACTTTCACAGGTAATTCGAAGCCATTCTGCAATAACATTGGCAAAAGTTGCGGATGACGGCAGGCAATTGTAAGATTAGGTCCCACGGGTAATAGGAGTTTTCGCGGACCCTACTGCTCCCACAAATAATAGGCGTCTCGAGTAATAGGGTCGTGGAAGAGGAGTCCTCCTCTACACCAATGCAAAGATAGACAAGAGGGACAGAGATGCGAGGATGGTTGGGAAATGTGGCATCAGAAAGAGGAGACTGCCTATTAGAGTTCACAGCTAGCAAAGATATGAAGAGTCATGAACACCTTTTTCAATAAGGAGCCTAGTTTGTGGATGTGGTGGAGCCCAGACTATATTGACTTGACTCAAACAGACATACCCCAAATTGCCAAAGGTGAACAATTTCAACATAGCTAGCGCTCACAGACTGGTACAATGCACATTGTATTTCAACATAGTCAAAGAATCGGGCAACTTTAATTGCAGGCAAACACACAAAATGTTCGCAGGTAGCTGATTTTAGGCTAAATCTAAGCAACAGAATTTGGTGTTAGCCACTGAGGGCGTGACAGGTTTCTCTTTTCATTCCTGTTGCCATGTACCCGTGTCGCATTCCAGTTCTGTTGTAATGTGCACTGCCAAATAAATATTGATCGATTGAAATTTGATTTGTACTCATTTGTATTAACTATACGAAGATTGTCAACGATGGTGTCTTACACCTTAATAAACGCATAAAGACTATCCTACACAGGATTAGCATAGATAATTCTGATTGATCCTACTACTGGGGTTGCCAATTTTTCAACAGACCATAACCCAGACATATTTCTCATTTTAGGTTTATCGGAATTGTGCAACTTACTTTAATACAATTCAACACTATACCACCAGAGCTCGATACAAATCAATTGCTGCCATCCAAACACAGATTCCAATTTCTGGGCTGTCTGAGTCAAACCCAGACAGGTGGCCACCCACCACATAATAGCTCACAAGCAGTGTTATGGTCAGAGTTTTTTGCTTATTTTTAGTTATTTAATTGTGGAATTGTTCTTTCTAGCTTACCCCGAATTCTAGCCTAGCTGAGTCGGGCTGCATGAGGTTTTACTGCATTTGTAAACTATATAATCATCACTGGTTACTTTTGCTGAATAGGTAATATTACGATTACCATTGTCTTCATCGCGAATAAATGACACTGTGCATGAAAAAAACCCAAAAGTGCATTGAAATGTTACATTAATGAATACGTATTGTTGTTGTTGTTGTTTCACACAGCTGCAGCCCCACAGGAAGCAGTCAGTTTGGCTCATCGGGAAACTTGAGCCAGCACAGCTCCCAGCTGAGTGAATTGGAACCGGACAATGAGAGCCATCATGGCTCAGGCCTGGGTAGTCTCCGAGGCTCTGGTGCTGAACGCGGTTCCTACAGCAGCTTCAGCAGCTTCCATGAGGACGAGGAGCCGAGACCTTTGGAACCCCAAGATGTCCTCCAAATATCTGAAAAGGTCACCAGTAACCATGGCCAGGACTGCTCTACCAATCATGTAAACTCAAAAGAAAGGACTGCGAATCATGCCCGATTTAATGAAAACAAATCCAGCTATGAATCAATACATGGGCTTGAGAAACAACCTAATCATTTTGTCACTTATGAAGACGAGAGAAGAAATAGTCGTGGCAGTACTTTTGAAAATGACATTCCAGGGCTTTATAATGCTAAATTTGATGATGAAATAATTTCCAATCATGATCTATGTACTGAAGATAGACAACTGAATGAAAGTGCAGCATATGAAAATAAACGGCTGAGCCAAGAAATTGAAAAATGTCACCCCGAAGTGGAATTCGTTGACCAGCCAGAGATTCTGCCTGATGACAATAACATACGGTAAATAGTATACATCACCTGTTATAACATCTGTATTATAAAACGTATTAGTGTTATTCTATTTGACATCACTTCTTTACTGATGTGGCGGTGGGTGCTCGAAATAAAGATGCTTGTAAGTTTGACTATAGTTCACTCATAAATGAAAATGCCTTTCACTCAGGAATGCAAATCTTGGCTCTCCAGTTATAGCAGGAGCCATAGTATGCGAGTCACCAACCTAATAAGCAACAACGTGTCTGCAGAGTACATTGCAGTGAGGGGGTTGCTGATTTATCTTTGCAGATTTAACAGCCTCATCTCGAAGTTGTGAATTATCGTTTGAAACTACAGGATTGTAAAATGTTAGAATTTCTGTTATACTTGACATAATTAGCATTTTTGATACGTTAACGATTCCTATACAGCTCCAATAAGGTGCCTTGATAATAATGACTTTTTTTAGAAGACATTTGGCATTTATATATATTTTTCTTGCCAAATATTTTCAAATAAAATTTATATAAAGTTTACAACACTTACGAACATAGTGATGAGTCTAACGATTAGATTAGATTTGTTCGTTCAGAGCAGTAACTTAAAAAAATTGCCTCATGATTGTGGGAATGGCAGACCTGATTTGGATGCCTCACCGCTGACACATGTGGCCCTAACCTCGCAGCAGAGCAGCTTAGGGGAGCATGGCACACAGGGGAGGCTTGTTCCAGGTTCTCGGGAGCTGGAAAGTTACTCACCCCATCGCCACTAATTTACCACGGAATGTGCAGAGTGGCAACTATGGAGTCCCCTTACACTGCTCGCCTGATGGAGGGTGTGAAACCAGCACACCGAAAGATTTTAAATCTTCCATACGCCCACGTGAAATAAAACAAAAAGAGAATTAGACCCTTTATTGCACACTAGGGCACTCTTTATTACACTGTTGTGAATTTAAATGTTCTTGTGTTTGTGTATAATGTGCTGTGATAGCAGTTGGTATTGCACCACTGTGGGCACTGTTTTCGTTGCGATTGGATACACTGGTTTTTCACTGATTTTGTTGCTTTTTCACAGTAGAGATGGTGGTAAAGTAAAGGTACCGCCACGAGAACTATGGATTCGGGCCATTGATAAAGTCCGCGCACAGATCCGTGAGGTAATTTTAAGCAGATAATCTTTTTGCGTTTCTGTTTTAAGCTCCAGGAACAAAGACACACTTCGTCACAACGTAACAGTATTGTACCATGGTTGGAGACTTGTGGTAACATTCCAAAAAAAACTGTACATGCTAATTCTGCCTGGCAATTTCATTGCAGCAATGAATATATTTTATCTTAATAATATACGAATGCGTTACTCTACAATTCCTTAAATTTTCAACCAGATTTTTTCAGGCCATTATGAAACACAATTGAGGCCTCGGTGTCTATATTACCATTTAGATTTAATTTGTTTTACAAGCCAAAGCAACATGAAATCATGAAATGTAATTTTCTGGAAAACACAAGTCTATATAAATTTAAATAAAATGTATTTTAACCAGAAAATATGCCTTCAAAGGCTGTTTGTTGTAACCAAGGTTCAACACCACTAGATACGGACATGGTCATTTGTTCCTAGAGCTTTATGTACATGGCTGTTTCGTTAAGGTACCTTAACCAATATGCAAAAACTCCTGCTTTCAAAATCCATGAGTTGTATGTATGTACTTTGTCAGTCCCAACCGTGCACTTCATAGGATATGTCTGGATGGAAACTGGTGTAGTGGTTGTAGGTTGTTCCATGCTTTCTGAAGGGGTTGATTCTCTGAGAAGTTCTCCTCTTGACAAGCAAATAAGTTTCATATAGGTAAGTTTTTGCCGCATAAACACTAATTTTACATAACAAATACATGCTTGGTGACATAAAGCCACTACTTACTGTGATTAATTTAATACATTTTCATTATCTTGTCATTAATATTAATTGGAGACTGTATTGGGACTTAAAACTGTTTCGACATTTTCACAGTAGTATTGTTTTGGAACTTACACAATATAATATGCTATTTATGTATGAAGGAAAGCAATTTTGATAAAATGTATTACAAATATTCATTTTAGCACTGTAATGCCTGGAATATAAGAAACAAGAGTTTAGAGATTTAGAAATGCTGAATATAGCATGCTAATTACATGGGTTTTTTTTCCAAGCAGAGAAAATTCGACAGTCAGGATATATTGTGTGCAGGCCTGCAACAGTAAAATATTAGAGAAACGCCCACGTGTTTTGCATGCCACAGTGCCATCACTAATCTTGCACACATTCTGCACACACCCTTGTTATATCCACCAGCATAAAAGAGTACACTGTGTGCCACGGTTGAAATAAAAATATGATAGCACTTGCATCGGTACAATTTATATTGCACTCACAAAAAGTGATGAAATTAGCTCTTGTGACTAATATACGCAATTTTTGTTTTTTAGCCAAAGTTATTGAAGCAAATATTTTTTTTTCTAATGACACTTGCGACATTTTTACTTATTTACAAGGTTCGTTACCAATCTTTGCCAGTCGTTGAGGTCTTTTTCTCTACGTTTAGGCATGGTGATGTGAGAATAGTGTATGCCTCTGCATCAACTTGCTTCAGGAGATGTTGCTAAGAGCATTTTTACGTGTGAGTTATTGCGTGCCTTAGGTATCATACCCAAATATGATGTCCAGTTGTTCATAGATTTCAACACTCCATTACCAAGTATGGTGGCAAATCTGGACATGTGCTCATCTACTGCATGATAGAACAACATTATAATAATAATGGTGTAGTGTCTTCAAAAATTACTCACACCGACACTTTGTAACAAGTCACCTGCTTACACTTTATTCGCCTATTCTTGCACCAGTTGTAGGCACTCCTATAACTATCTCTACGGTCACTTATATCTAACTTCTTCCTACCCGTATCTACTTTACACCTCACTTATCCTGCACTCGGCAGCTCTGCTCTCAGTGTCTCCGCACACAGCGTCTTCGTACAGAGCGTCTCCGCACACAGCGTCTCCGCAAACAGCGTCTCTGCACACAGCATCTCCGCACACAGCGACTCCGCACACAGCGTCTCCGCACACAGCGTCTCCGCGCACAGCGTCTCCGCGCACAGCGTCTCCGCGCACAGCGTCTCCGCGCACAGCGTCTCCGCGCACAGCGTCTCCGCGCACAGCGTCGTCGCACACAGCGTCTCTGCACACAGCGTCTCCGCACACAGCGTCTTCGTACAGAGCGTCTCCGCACACAGCGTCTCCGCACACAGCGTCTCCGCACACAGCGTCTTCGCACAGAGCGTCTTCGCACAGAGCGTCTTCGTACACAGCGTCTCCGTACACAGCGTCTCCGCACAGAGCGTCTCCGCACACAGCAGCTTCACCCACAGCAGCTCTACATCTCCACCGCTGCCCTCGCCTCCGCTCCGTCAGACCCGCTCACCCGTCTGTCCCAGGCCAGGGGATGAGCCAACACCCGCCCGGCGACGCGTGAGGGTTGAGGCCCATTGACGGCTCGAGCGGCAGCGGGGACATGTCTTCGCTCTTGTCCCCGGCAACAATTCAACTCTCCGCTCATGCACACGCCCTTGTATCCCACTGCCAATTATCCAAGACCTCTCGTGTGTCTCTATAAGCTCACACCAGGCCGGCGCCTATCGGCCCCATCAATCAACCCTTATCTCCCTGGCAACACCTCCGGTCTTGCCGTGCACAACCAGTCGACCCCATTTGCGCCCGCTTCGCCCCCTACAACTGGCAGTCTGTCACGTTGCACACGCGCACCTGTTTGCCCTCAGTTAACTGTGCGCACCGCGTGTTTCACTCCTCTGCAATGGAACTCGGAGTTTTTCAGTGAAAATAGACACAAGACTCACATAGAGGTCAACAAATTGCATGTTAGAATTCATAGGTTTAATCAAAACATAGAGACTCAAGATTAAAAAGGTGGTATATATAATTATTCGTATTTAATGTATAATTATTGAGAAGTTCAAAACAAATTAGAGGCATATTAAGGACTGTAATATGCAGTCTAAAATATTTGAGAACTCAAATAATGATTGTTAGGTTTCAGTATAAACATCTAGGACTCCAGGAGCCAAAAATAGGAAATGTATCAACTGCCAAACTAGTGGAAGACACATCCGAGTCTGATTCAAATTGCTGCCTTGTTGAGAATTATTAAATTTTTAGGTGTTTTTTTATGAATATGTGCTGTTTAAGTGATACAAGATTTAATGTTACCTTGTCATAACAAAGATTTTGAATTTGGCACCGACTATCTCCTCATCTCCCACATACAGTTTTTTGTCTTCCCCTCACTCTATTATCGTCCAATCCATTCAGCATATCTTATCACCCTCATGACATTTCACTGTCATAGCCTGCTGCCCTTCTCACTCCATTGAATTCTCCTCTCACCCCATTGCATCTCCTCTAACCTTACTGTCATTCCAAATATCTCTGTGAACCGTGCGTGTTGTACGGCAGTGTTTTTATTTGTGCGCGTTCTACAAGTGTACTGTTCACGATTTACTGTTATATCGTTGTAGGTGTGATATTTCATTCTTAGGGAGGGTGAGCACCCTAGTAATAAAATATAACAAGCAAAATACACTTTCATAATTATTCCACATTTTGTACATTTGCAAAACAATCTCAAGAGACATTCGTGTATATACTGTAAACAAAGCACAGTATATATATGGATTGCATTATATGTGTAAACCATAGTTAGTAGGCCCATATTAGGCTCTTTCGGGGTTTGTTATGACTTTTGACGATGTGTAATCAGTTTATCACACCTCATTTTAATGTCTTTTTTCCATTTGATAATTATTACACTAGTTTAAATCTAATGCTTAGGTCTTGTAGTGTGTGCTAAATGCCGTCACAGGGGAAATGGAAAAAAGTGAATATAAATTATGTGTCCCTGAGAGGTTGGACAGTATTTATAGCCACTGTGTCCCTTGTTAAAAACCATAACAGTATTTAAATGGCAGTTCTCGTGAAGCTTGCTTGATGGGCCTCATAAATGTTTAATTTACTATCAACACCCACAGTGCAAAAACATATGGTCTGACAATGACATGTCACTATGAACCCCTTTGGCAACATTGGCAACATTGGCAACGTGCAAAGGCAGATGCATAATTGCTTAACTAAAAATGGGGTTTGGCCTTTCCGTTAGTTTAACACATTTTTGCATTTGTGAGAAAATGATGAATGGAATTAGTGAGTATGCTGCTGATTAGTCGCCCACTGGGTCAAATTGAGATGCCGGAGCACGACAAATCGTGACCTCATTTCAAAACTCATTCATTACGAGGGCTGTGGCGTCAAATCACTGCTGAAGCCTGGAGACTCATGACCTGTTTGCTGCTCCAGCTCTGCCGAGCACTGGCTAAAGCAAAGAAGTGGGATGTCAATGAGGTGGTCAGTGACGAGCCAAGGTTTATTTTCCTTCTAGATTTGAAGCTTTCGTGACTGCAATGATTCATATTTTTATGTTTTTTTCGGTAAAGTCACGTAGGTAAAAACATTAAAAAGTAAAATAAAATTAAAATAAAAATCACGACGTTTCGGAGGCAACACAAGCTTCCGTCTTCAGGTGGTACCGTCACAGCCACGACAGCTGTATCAAGTAAATGAGAGATTGCAGGAGTTACCATACACATGCATACAAATAAACACACGTTTGGCATTTACACTGGGCAAACATGTTGGAATGCCTCTTCATAATTTCATGAACAGAAAAAACGGCAAGCTGTGCACGTATTGCACCAGCAGGCGGGGGTACAGGGCGGCTTGACGGCTGCGGACTCGAGTATTTTAGTATGCAGCGTTCGCCACTCCCCGGGGACTTGCTCCATATATGGGAATGGTCGATTCTGTCACATGTAACTTGTCCTGCTTTTATGCGCCGTGTGGCTTCTGGCTCGGACGTTGCTCCGAACAACAGCTGGGGGGTTTTGTTGTTGTTGTTGCAGAAGATAGAGAGGGGCCTCTGCCGTCTTGACCAATATGCAGAGGCATTGTTAATCAACCTTAGCTTAGACAACGCCGTGCTGTGGCATGGAGGAGCCAACACCATTTTCTGCCGCTTTGCCGACGAGATGTTAAGCCTCGTGCAATGAACGCAAGAGCCCGGGATTACGATATAACCTGTTGTTAACGGCAGGCATCGCGCACCACATCGGACGCTTTCGGTGGTCAGCCTTGCACTTTTTTTTCACAATCTTGTGAGTATGACATTTTCTAGCATTTGAATACCGTGCCAAATTTTCGACAGTTTTTGGGTTTCGTAAGTAAATGAGGCTGAATTTCATAAGAGCATTTCGTACTGTGAATTACAATATTTTTTGCTCTACATTGTGCAAGTTTATTTATACAAGAATGACGTTAATAATGCAAAATAATTTGTTTTAAAATACACCGTTGCAATATTTAGCATGATGTTTTAAAATCAGATGCTGTGTCATTTTGCGTAACTTTTGCAGCAGCACATTCGGTATAAAAAGGGTGTATAATATACATTAACCTTCACATTGCTGCTGTAGTTTTTTCATTGTAATCCGGCTGCTATGGGAGGAATAAAGTACTGTGATAATCAGTGTTTTACTATACCAGCAAAGTAATGCCGATAAGAGCTGGGATTGAAGATGGGTTTTTTTTAAACCAAGAGTGACGGTCATCTGCAGAGATTAGGGAAAGGTTAGCGTTGGTTCTATCACATCAGATTATGAGGCGCAATTCCTCCCCCCAGATATAGGCGAGCCAATGCTCAACGAACCATGAATCCCCTGTTCGCAGAGCAAGTTCAGTCGTCAAGCTTCATTTGGTTGCATCTACCTTATCGCGTAATTCCCCTCCGAGGTACAATAGGGTAGAATTATAAGCGTGTGCACATATACAGGAATGCATATGGATCTAGGGGTGTGGAATCAATTTGAATGCATTCCTTATACATGTATGCCAGTTGGCGAATACAATTGCATTGCAATGAAAAACTCGAGAATTATGAAATCCCATAATTATGTGCGCATAAATGCCATGCAACTAATGACGTCAATATTTAAAAATGCCAATTCATAATCGGGTATGTTAAAATTTCAAATTCTGCATGATCTATGGCAATAGACCCCTTAACCAATTCTGCGTTCGGGTTCTCCGCGCTGTATCGGTGCGGCCACGCCATCTGACCAATCTGTCGGCTCTGACACTCTGTACACAACCACAATGAGCAGTCACCTCTAAATAATGCATACGGCCGTGTGACAAGAGGGACGGACGGTGGGCACAAAGGGACAGGCGGGACAGATGTGGCGAGAGAGAGAGAGAGCGGCGTACATGCACTCTAAGAGACACGTACAGATACATAATGCGCGTGTACAGTCTATGGGTTACAGGAGAGACCCGGAGAGGACACAAAGGGATGGAGAGACGTGGCGGGCCAGGTGCTTGTGCAGGGCACGCGTCTGTGAGCGTGTTGCACGCCTCAACGCTCACCGCTAAACCCTCCCCGCGCATCCACGCTGGTTGCACGCTGCGAATTATGAACCATTCGTAATAAAGGGGTTTTTTTGGGGGGGTTAGATCGCGTAAGTATAAATGTGTCGAAACCCTCCGCCACCCGACACGGCCAAATCGGTAAGAGATTTGTCGAGAGTGAAAGGTGATGTGTTAAAACTGATTCTGAACCATGTTCGGCGTTTGAGGGGTACTTTTACATGTGCTTTTAAATGTGGCTTTCACCTTTGGATTATACGTTGTTAATTTATTCAGTTTTACAATTACACGTTTATCTTGACTTTACTATAAATAGACAGCTGCATTCGTTAAAGTTTGATGAATACCGTTGAGCCAGAGCGGTTGAAATTCCTCACTGGGACATGGTTTATATCCGTGTCACGAGCCGAGATTAATTGATTTTAAATATTCTGTCACCTGACGTGCGTCAAATTGTGCGTGTCAGGATTGTTTTAGTGGCATGTGCAAATCCTGAGCACATGTTCATCGTCACTAATATTTGGCGGATTGTTCACGTGACAAACCTTACTGGCTGTTTCGGGTGTTGGAGGGTTACAACACATTTATACTTACGCGGTCTCACACAAAAAACATAGTTATTAGTACTATTTTTCGCGAAAGCCTACGTGTTAAACGTTTTAGTTTTTGTTGTGGGCTCTCATTAATCACTATTTATGAGCCATATGTCATAGCAGGCAAGAGGCAATGATTAAAAACATTTATCTTCAGACACATTGCTCTGTTACATTTATTATCAAGTTCATTTTTCCAAAATCACTTCAATTTGTTCTTGTCCACCTCTATATTTTATACTTTTATTGCACCATCTTCCTTTAATAGTTATCCTCGGTACACACCTGTTTTTCAGTTGTATTCCTTTGACTGCTATCTCCCATTGTTTAGTGAACTTGTTGAATATGACCTTTTTAAAACCATATTAATCCTCAGCCCAACTTTGCAAGCAGCCTTCATTATATTCTAACATTTCTAACAGTCCCATTGGGTGTTATAATGATTGTCATCGGCAGATCTGAGATGGTAAATGCTTTCTCTACTCTGTGTAAATTGATACGGTCTTAATTGCAAAATATTTATAAATAATAAAACAGCCACCCTAGATTACAGGAAGTACCAACATATATATTAAAGGTGGAGTCAGACAAGGTGGCGTGCTTTCGCCAAGGTTATTCACAGAGACAAGATATTTTCTGATAATTGGATTGGAGAAACAAAGGCACACATGTTCATGGAGAAGACATGAATTCGTTGTGTTTAGGTTAATTACGCAAACAATACTGACATCGACGATGAGAACGAGAGACAATATAAACCTGATGCCAAAAACAATCTCTTTAGGATTTGTCTCTGAAATTCTCACAATTCATTGAATTACTGTGGGTAAAGGGAATTACATACCTAGTATATCCATTACAATACACCCTGAATCCCAACCTGTTTTCATTGAGTTGTAAAGGATCAATATTTCATATTAAAAACAGTCCATGCTTGTACGAGAAAACATTCCAGGGTATGTCACCGTCCTCATTCAGTATAGCAATTAATGTAATAACGCATTTTGTTAACATTTTTAAATGACATAGTCATAACCCTTATTATGCATACAGTACATTGACTTGTTGCCTTTTAATATTAGAAACTAGTGGAACAGATTTGAAAAATAATTGCGGGGTTTTTGATTACAGCATTAAATCTGGTACTGTTAATGAATGCACAAATTGAAGATATTGGATATTGGGTCATCGTCAAATCGCCCCAGGTCAGTTGTGGTGGCATTTTTAAAATGGCAACCTTGCATCAAGAGCTTTATGTAGAATATTATTCGTGACAGTGGTGTGTACAATTTATGGTTCAAATGATTGAAATGTGTTCATATGTATTCACCAGAGTAAAGTGAAATGACAAATATCATCTCTCATGAAATGTCAATAATATTAGATACCAATAATTATTCATCATTTAAAACATTATTCATTCATGCAAAATAAATAAAAATGCAGCAGTAAAAAATAAAAATATTTTTTTAAGATTGGGTAAAATTTCTGTGGTCTGACCGATGCGTTATTTTGGCAAGAAGCTACACCATGTATTATATTTCCATGTTTTTCATGTATTAAACTATATCATTCACGCATTCATGTAAGATGTATAATATACATGCAGCTTCATTTGTGCCAGTCGCAACATTTTCTTGAATATTGTTGTAAAGTGCCCAGTGAGGTCCTATTTTGGTTCAAATAATCCAAGCACATATGGGATTTAATGGGGGGAAACTGTCGTAGCCATGCTGGGGAAGGGCCAGTGTGTAGGGAGTGAGACTGATTGGAGAGGCTGGGTCAGTCAGAGAAGAGGGACAGCTAACAAGGAAGGGGACATAGCCAATTTAGGAGGTGGGTGAGTTATGCACAGCCTGTGTATTTGTCCATAGGACGCACTATCTGTCACAGCATTTTGATGATTATTTTTCATTGTACATGACCAGCTGTTGCTCATTCTGACCATCATGATCCAGGGATTGAATTAGATTTTTAGCGACCCATGACCTTTGAAGTAATATGAAAACCGTGACAGCATGGTAATTACCACCTGCTGGACATCCACGCTATTGCATCCACTGGTATCTGCTATGCCCTGCAATCGGTGATTTCTGGTGAACGTGTGTGAGTGCCAAGTGTCTGTGAGTGCTTGAGTATCCAATCTTCCTGATTTGTGGAAATTACAAGTCATGTAAACTCGATTGTATGGCGAGGGTCAGGTGACCTGTGTATTGTGAATATTTAGTACTGAGTGGACATTAAAGCATATTAATACTGTACCTGATCATCTAGTAAGAGCGTAGTGGATCATGATATAGCCTTCTAGGAAATTTACATCACTACCTGGCAGGTGCATTGCATTGAAACTATGTTTCTGTATAAAAACCCTATTTTTTTATTTAACTCCCGAAAATTGACAACAATGATTGTGAAGCTCCTTGGATATCTATATTTGTGAAAGGATGGAATAGGCAGTAGTCTAGTACAGATATTAATATCATGACTCTATTTCAACAGAAGTTAGTGGAAGAGTTACGTTCAGAAAATTTAGCTTAAACATTGGTCCAAGTTGTTCTCTGGCCAAGGATCTGGAGATCTGCCATGGATGGCGGTTGTCGAGAATGTGTGAAGTCAACAACTGACAAGTGGCATTGGCAGCGAGGAACGTTTCTGAGGATAGCCACACCGAGGTTCTATATGGTCAATGTTGGAGGCAGCATGGTCAGGTCAAATATAAGATATATGATGTCTTACACGGGAACAACTTCAGAAGAGGTGGAGTTATCAGGGGGCATTCACATCCCCGTGTAGTGTACAATAAGTATAACCCGTAAAAACAAAGTTTTTCACTATAAATCCTTTATATGCGTGGCGGCTAGAGTCCTCTCGTCCTCTGGCTTGAGATGGCTGCCACCTATGGGTCAGATGATTGTCTGCCAGTATTAAGCAATTGGTAATTAAATATTCAATTTGTTTTCCCTAAACAGTGTAAAATTTTGGAAACTTTTTTTCACGAACATTAATTGTCTCGCACAACGAGTCTGTGTGCAAAATGTCAGCTCGATTGGATCACGGGAAGTGGGTTAAAAAACGACCGAAAGATTTGCAAGGTCGTAAGCAAGCAAGCACGCAAGCAAGCGAACTTAATATAAAGGATT